GCGCGCGTGGGGAGCGGCTGTCCGTGGCGCTCCGGCCTCTCACCGCGCGGAGAATCAGCCAAAATTCCTGCGAAGTCACATAGTGAAGTTGGAAAACCAGCCCGGCTGCGGCACGCGCCCGCGCTTCCTGCCCGCCTGGTGCACCCCGGGGGGCGCCTGCCCGCCTCCTGCCGCTGGGCTGGGGGCGCCGGGCTGGGCGCGCCCTCGCTGCAGCTCGGCCTGACAGCTCCACCTGCCGGGGGTCCTGCAGGAGCCCAGCGAGGAGCGCGGCCAGGACCGGAGCTCTGACCCAGGATAGGGGCGCCCCACCGCCAGCCCTGGGGCGCTCCGATGGAGCCCCTGGCGGCCGCCGCGACCCCTTTCCCCCAGGTGGGTCAGCCCTGCCCAGGCGTCCTCCTTGATCTTCACTCCCAGTGTGCAGTGTGGTCAGGGGCCCAGGTCTGTCCAGCGCGGGACCTGCCCGGCAGCAGCGTGGCCACTTCTGGCCTCTCCTCTCCTCACGCTGGGCAGCGAGACACCCAGAGGAGGGGAGTAAAAAGCACAGATGTGTGTCTGTTTCCACAGTGGAGGGTGGCGGCCCCCAGCGGGCTGGGCAGGGGGATAGGGTGGGACTTTTCCAGAAAGGGAGCCAGGCCTGGCCTGGGCCCCGGGAGCTCACGTCACCCCTCCCCCCACCCCACTTCTCCTGGGAACTGCCAGAGCCAAACCCAGCTCAGTGTGGGATTATGTGTCCTGGGTAGACCCAGTCGGGACAGCAGGACAGCGCCAGGCGGCGGAGCGCAGCGCGGGGGGACGGGCGAGGGACCCGCCAGAGAGGGCAGTGACCTTCACCGCTGTGTCCTTCCTTCAGCCCCCGCGCACAGGGGCCGAGCTAGAGGTCTGGGTGGTGGAATGTGGCCACTCAGGAGCACTTGCCCCCGTGGGGTGGAGCTGCTGACCTCAGCTGCTCCCCGCCCCTCGGGCTCAGGGTCAGCTCTGTGACCTCCCTTTCCAATGCTGAGTCTGGGGTCTCGGCGGGGGGCCGGAGGTGAGGGCCCCCAGCTGGCGCACCTGGCCCTGGCTCCTGGGACCCCTCCCTGTGCCTTTCTGATCCAACAGAAACTTTTTTCCTGAAAGCAGAACCGAGGGCAGGATGAGGCGCGGGAGCAGGAAGGGAGGGCAGGTGTGGGAGGGTGGGGCCGAGGGGAGCGGGCCTGGGGGCTGGGGGCGGGGGGAGCCCCCGCCTGTGGCCAGAGCAGGCCTGGCTGGCGGTCCTGACCGCCCAGAACGCAGGCCCGGCCGAACCGCAGCCCTACCCCGTCTCCCTTCCAGGCCCCCCATTAGAGCTGCCAGGAAATAACCCCTCTTTGAACCGGTGCCCACCCTGACCCCAGAGGGGTGAGCCCACCGTGGGGGGTCCCAGAGGGCGCGCCCTGCGGAAGGGGAGGCCAGGGGCTCCCTGAGCTCCTCAGAGGCCCCCAGGAAGGTACCTCAGAATGAGGTGGTGCCCCTGGTGGGCTGGCAGGCGGGGCCTGTTGGGGCGCCGGGGTCACACCTCTTCCCTCTCCTCTGTGGCGTTCAGAGGGGCGGGCTGGCCTCCCCCGTGCTGGCGCTGAGGTGTCCTGCCGCGGGTCCCCCGTCCCAGCCTACCGCTCTGGAGCCTGGAGAGTGACCGTCCGGCTTCTGTCCCTGCATGCAGAGCCCAGATGCCTGAGTAGGCGCTGACTGCGGTCCTCTCTTTCCTGGCCCGCTGCTACTGGGGAGCAATGGAGAAGAGGGCGGGCAGGTAAGAGAGCACTGCCCACCCCTGGGAGGGCGGGAAAGGCCGTGCCGGGAGGCGTGAGGAACTTCTGCTTTCTGAGAAGTCGCCTCAGGATATGGGGAGCCCATGAGGGGCCGTGTCACAACACCCCGGGCTCCCGGCACACGTCCCCCCTTCGGTTTGCAGGCCCCAGCTGTGTCTGATGCTGTTCCTGTCCTTCCCTCAGCTCTGCCTGGACCAGGAGGTGAGCCAGGGAAGAGCCCCCCGGCCCCCCGGCCCCTGCTGGGCGTGTGGCCTGGCCCCCAGCACTGGGTCTCACGCTCCAGGTGCTCTATAATCGTCCCAATTTTGTCCGACGTTTTTGTCTTACAGATGTCACCTGGACACTCTCTTCAGACACCCCACGAGGAGGGGCAGGGCCCTGAGGGCACCTGGGGTTCTTGGGGCCAGTGGGCCTCCTGTTCCCAGCCCTGCGGGGTGGGGGTACAGCTCAGGAGCCGGACTTGTCAGCTCCCTGCGGTTCACCAGGGCCTGGCTCTCCCACCCCGGCCCCCACGACACCCAGAAGCCCTGCTCCCCAGGGGGCAGGGCCCCAGACCCCAGGCTTCCCAAGAAGCCCACCCCCTGTACAGACCACGTCCCCAGGGGAGAGGTGACCCTCTTCCAGGTCCAGCCCCCCAACTAGAGGAGGCCCAGGAGAGTCCCGGCGCCAGGCGGTAAGGGGCACGGCTGTGAGGGAAGGGTGGGCTTGAGGTGACGGCGAGGCTTAGGGGGCTCCTCTCTGGCGCTAGGAGGGACCGGGAAGACTGGGCGGGGAGAGACGATCAGAGCTGTGACCCCAGCCGTCCCCCACACCTTCTCAGGTCCCGGCTGCGCGACCCCATCAAGCCGGGCATGTTTGGCTACGGGAGAGTGCCTTTTGCTCTGCCGCTCCACCGGAACCGGAGGCACCCCCCGAGGCCGCCCGGACCCCGATTCACCCAGCCCCCCAGCCTTCGCTCCCCGACCCCCGGGGCAGAGCCAGCCTCCACAAACCACACCCCTGGGGCTCCGCCCCCTCCAGATCTGTCTGCCCACACCCCGTCTCCCCCTGCAGAGCCTCCACGTTCCGAAGCTGCCCAGACAGGGGTGCCCCTGAGCACCAGGCCTGCCCCCACCAGGGCCCAGGCCCCCGGCACGGCCGCCCCCAGGGCCGCGCTCTCCTCAGGGGAGAACAGCTCCTTCCACATGTCCCTTCGGCCAAGAACACACAGTCCCCAGGGTCGTGCCAGCGCCCGGGGGGCAGAGAGACACCCCAATCCCTCCCTTTCTGCTCCCCGGGGGCACGTCCAACAGAACTGGGTGCACCGGCAGCCTGGGGGGGGCCGGCACAGGTCCGCCCCTCGCCTCGCGGACAGCTGGCCGCCGTCGCTCGGTGCTGGCCCCCACGCCAGCCCCAGCTGGAGCCTCTTTGCGCCCAGCAGCCCTGTCCCCCAGTGTCCTGGGGAGCGTGAGCAGCTCAGAGCCTGCAGCCAAGCGGTGAGCCTCCCGCCGGCCGCCCAGGCCTCTGCCCAGCCTTGAGCCCTGCGGCTTGACCCTCTGGGCCCCAGGGAGGGGCTGGCGTCCCCCCGCATGGAGCTGCCCCCGGTCCAGCCCTGCCCGGCTCGCGTCCTCCCGGCCCTGACGCTCTGTGTCCCCCTCAGCCCTGCCCCCCTGAGCAGCCGGACCCCCGGGCTCTGCAGTGCGCAGCCTTCGACACGCAGGAGTTCATGGGCCAGCTGTACCAGTGGGAGCCCTTCACGGACGGTGAGGCCCGGGGCCCCAGGCAGGGGCAGGCCTGCACGCCTCCACCCGCAGCCGTCCTCTTCCTCCTGAGCCTGGGCTCTCCTCTCTCGCCCAGGCCGGGGTGGAGGGGCGTGGACAGGCCTCCGCAGCCGGAGCAGGGACCGAGCGGGGCCCCCTGGCCGTCCCCGCCCCGGGAGTGCGGGCGTCGGGGGACAGCACTGAGGGGCCCCTCCCATGGGCACCCGCCCCCGGGTCCGGCGTGGCCTCGCCTCACCCCCCACTCCCAGGTGCCACCGCTGACCAGCCGGTGGCTCCCTGATGCCCAGCGAGCCCCCAGGAGCCCCGCGGGCAGTTGTGCGTCCAGGGTCTGCTCAGAGACCGGCCACTGCGCTGCCCCGACCCAAACTCTGCACCCTCAGCCCAGCCCTTCAGGGCACGAGTTGCCATGTTCCCTGCGGCCACGGTGACCCAGGCCGCCTCGGCTGACCCCGCTGCTGGTGGCCGGGGCCCGCAGCTTCCTCCCGGGCAGCTGACCACCCTCTGCCCCGTCTCAGTCCAGGGCTCCCGGCGCTGTGAGCTGAACTGCCGTCCCCGGGGCTTCCGCTTCTATGTCCGCCACACCGAGAAGGTCCAGGACGGGACCCTGTGTCAGCCCGGAGCCCTGGACATCTGCGTGGCTGGACGCTGCCTGGTGAGGGGCCGGGCGCGTGTCTGCGTGCCCAGTCGCACACACACGCACCGCGTCTCGGTCACTGCTGCAACACACCCCTCCCCGTGGCGGAGAGAGCAGGGGCGCCCCGGCGCTGGGCCCCGCAGCCAGGCTGGGGGAGGCCGGGGGTGCTTGGGCGCAGCGCCAGCGGCCCCTCTCCCCTGTCCCCAGAGCCCGGGCTGCGACGGCATCCTCGGCTCCGGCAGGCGTCCGGACGGCTGCGGCGTCTGCGGGGGCGACGACTCCACCTGTCGCCTGGTCTCGGGGAACCTCACGGACCGAGGGGGCCCCCTGGGCTATCAGAAGATCTTGTTCATTCCCGCTGGAGCCACTCGGCTCCAGATCGCCCAGCTCCGGCCCAGCTCCAACTACCTGGGTGAGCACCCCAGTCCCGTCTCGGCCCCCCCAGCCCCGGCCTCTTCACTCTGCTGCCCCCAGCGGGCGCTCAGCGCCGCAGGCCGTCTCCCGTGGGAGCTGAGTGCGGGGCGGGAGTGGGGACACAGCGACCCGCCTCCCTCCTTGTCTCCGCCTCCAGCGCTCCGGGGCCCGGGGGGCCGGTCCATCATCAATGGGAACTGGGCTGTGGACCCCCCGGGGTCCTACCCGGCCGGGGGCACCACCTTCCGGTACAGCCGGCCTCCTCGAGAGGAGGGTGCGGGGGAGAGCCTGTCCGCCGACGGCCCCACCACCCAGCCTGTGGACGTCTACGTGAGCTGCGGGCCTCGGGGCGCGGGGCCGGCGGGGCGGCCGAGGGCTGGGGCGGGGCGAGCCTGTCCTGTTCTAGACGTGCGCCACCTCCCTCCCCACAGATGATCTTTCAAGAGGAGAATCCAGGTGTTTCTTACCAGTATGTCATCTCCTCGCCGCCAGCCCCGGAGAGCCCCGCCCCAGAGCCCCGAGCCCCCCGCCCCCAGCCGGGTGAGCGCTGCCCCGACTCGCGGGGAGGCCGGAGGGCGGCCGCGCCCGCCTCTCATAGCCGACTTGGCTCCTGCAGAGATGCGGAGGGCAGAGCCCCCGCCTGCTTCGGCACCCCGCGCCCCGAGGACGCCCGGCGCCCTCCATCGGCAGGTGCGGATCCCGCAGGTGCCCGCCCTGCCGCGGCCCAGGCCGCCCCTGGGGTCCCCAGCCGGATCCTGGAGACGAGCGGGGCACCCTGAGTGCTCGGCCTCCTGTGGGGAAGGTGAGGGCCGCGCGGCCGTACCCCACACCCTCGTCCACGTCCGCCCATCCCGTTTCCCGGGGGCCACCCTCAGCGCCGCCCCCCTCTGGTGCTGGGCGCCAGGGGCCCCCGGCTCCCCTCGCATCCCTGCAGGTGTCCGGCGCCCCAGCTTCCTCTGCATTTCCCGTGAGTCCGGAGAGGAACTGGATGAACGCAGCTGTGCCACGGCCCCCAGACCCCCCGTCTCCTTGGAGCCCTGCCGCGGCCCCCCCTGCCCCCCATAGTGAGTGTGTCCCCCGGGGAGGCTGGGTCCCAGGAGGGCAGGCGCCCGGTGCCCGTGGGCCGCGAGGAGGGCCCTGTCCCCGGGCACGGGGCCGC